CCTCTGAAACCCCTGTGCTGTTCTGTGGATTGTGGCTAAATTGCTGCTTTGTATTGAAGGACGTTTTAAAAGAATGGAATATTCCAGCCATTCAGTCCTCAAAAATCAGTTCTGGATTTGACTTCTCTCCTCATTCTTGGGGAAATGAGATATAAAATTGGGGTTCACGTAGAGTGGGGGAAGCAGGTTTCTGAATTCTTCACTCACCTGAACTCCATGAAGTGATGCTTCTGTGGAACTTCCTAGTCCAGACTAAAGCATGCGCCTTGATCTAATGTCCTCTGAGGTCAGTGGCTTGGGCTGTTGTTAACTTCAGAGGTAGAAACCCTTGATCTATCTGGGGAGAACTGCCACAATGACATTTCCTCCCCTTTTGAAAATAAGCATTGGCTGAATGTGAACAGCAGTCCTCCTCACGTTTACTTCAGCTACTGTATTTCAGAAATCAGAGGGTTACACCAAGTAAAAGGACCCAATTTTTTTTATTACACTGTTGCTTTAAAATAAAACTAGCTGGGCTGGGACAGAGATTTCCTTTTGTCCACAGAAGTGTGAAATCATTTCTGTGATTCTGAAAAAGCAAGAGGCCTGAAAGGGTTCACAAACAATAGGGGCTGGGGCGCATGAACTTATAGAGGAATGCACAGCTCTACACGGAGTGTGCTTCTCCCTACACAGTATTTAATAGGAACTTGTATGCCATTGATAACGTATCGTAATTGAACATTGTCATTAAATTACATATTTACCCTAATTACATAATTAGGTATGATTGTGCTAATTGGGTAAAGACGTAATTGACAGAAATCACCAGAAAACAAACATGGAGATTCGTGCCACCAAAAGAAAGTGTCTCAATACTGCTGTGAATCTCTCTTGCTCTCCTCCAGAAGAGGAATGTTGATAGTACAGAGGCAGCTACCGAAGAGCCAGGCATTGATAGATGTTGTGAAGGTGCAGAGGTAATGGTAATTAGATGGCTTCTGGTTTAATATTTGATCTCAATTCTTCATGTCAGTGAGAGCAGCAGATACTCTAATTGACGGAATGACTCGGCGCGTGACACTTTTTTCTGCTTGAAATTACAGTTGCTCTGGGATGCAAACACACTTTCATCTGTCCAAGCTTCATCTGAGCTTAGAGCGATGGGAACAAAATACCTGTAATTCTGAAGCCAAGCTCTCGTAAATGGGCAAAATTTGCCAGGATAATCTGTGCAGGTGGCTGCGGGGGTGTCTAAAAATTGACCAGAGGGTGAGTTCGGGATCAGACCCTTGGACAGAAGCTGCTTCAGTGTTTAGAAAATACTTTAAGATAAAGTCTCTTTCTATTGCTCTGTAAAGTGAGCATGGGTTGCATCCCCAGAGAAAGACTTGCTCATTACTGTCTCATTTGTGCAGGGAGGCGTTGGCATATGTTGGAACTTGGATGAGATGAGAATCTTTTCTCAGTGAGGACCTTCTCCCGCAGTTGGTGCTTGGACACTCCGTGGCACCTTGGAGCAGGTCTTGGTACAGCAGGACCACGTGTACCAAGCGGGGCACAGCTCCCCTGCTCAATATAGTGCCGGGGGAGGGAGCGAGAATGCTCTTTGAACAAGTGCCAGCACGGAGCTGACAGCTCAAGGATTTGTAAATGTGGTGATGAAGAGGAAGCTGAAGTTGCGATGGGAGAGCAGCGAGGAGAGGTGGCGAGTCATGAGCAAAACAGTCACAGTGGCATTTGCCAACCTGAAGAAAAAATTAGGTTATTTAGGCACAAGTTGAGAGCAAGAAATCTTTTCATGAGGAATTTTCTATTGTAATGTATCTATGAAAGGACCTTTATGAGTTGAGGATACAAATGGAACAAAGCACCTTTTCTCCGCCTTCTATTTGAGATCAAATTATTGGGGAGTTTTTTTTCTCGGCTCTGCTTCTAACTACCTGGTCTGCAAGCGTTAGCCTCGGTGCAATGGTGATGTTAGCAGTACTTTCCTTAATTAAACTGATCAGATATAGATAATAATTTTTAAATGGCTTGAGTTATGTAACATTTGTGACAAGATTGAGATACGGGAAGATATTTGCAAGGGTAAAAATGAGTAGCCTGGCCATGTGATACTGTGATGGTTTAGTTTATAGCTGCAGAATATGAAGTAGGGGGTTTTTGAAAGTCTAAAAGATCTCCTGTGTCACATAGAAATTGGGTGGGATTTCAGATCTTCCATCACCCTAAATGAACACACAGGTTCATTGGCTTCCATGGAGCTACGTTAGTTACAGCACTGGATTTCTTGTCAGAGGACAGACAGTCAGAGTACAAAACTGATGATGTTGCATCAAGGAATTGGGATGGTTTCAGGATGTTTTCAGACAGCAGTAAAGCTCCTGGTTCAGAGTATGAGGCCCTGGTTCCTTATCCAGATTTGTGGCTGGATCACTGTTCCAACTAATAAAATGGTTAACAGGGACTCCACTGTGAGGGTACTGCACTGTCCTCTTAACTAAAATAATATGTTGAATTTCCACAGAGCCTATCAGGTCAAAGTAAACTTTACCGAATATGGAGCCGTTAGAAATTCCAGTGATACTATCAACATCGTGTACATTTAAACCTTGCAGATTGTTTTTTTTTCAAATATTTCTCTGCCGTTGGAAGCTGAATCCTGAAGCGTGGTATTACTTCTCGCCTCCTTCCTTTATTTCTAGTCAGGCTTTGGTTGTAAAGGTAGGGCCCTGGCTTTTTCATAATCAGCAATGCTGCTTTATCCTCAGAAAATAGAAACAACCAAGATGCCATCTCTTCAGCACAGCTCAGCCTTCGTGCGTAGGGTTTGATTCCCTTGTAATCCCCTCCCAGCCCGGAGCTGCTGTGCCTGAGGATGCATTCACCTGAGAGGCAGGATCTCGGGGCTGATCCAGTTCCACTGTCTGCACTGGCATATTTTAAGATGCTAATCCCTGTTTGTAAGCCATAATAAATAGGCAGCCTACTGCTTTAAGTAATACCTTGGTGGGTAATGGGAATGACTCACAACGATAACATCCTGGTTGTTTGACTGTGAACTAATACAAGTTAAAAATGTAATGTGTTCCTTGTTAAGGGAACACCGTCTTATTCTGACTGCTGAGAGAGGCTCACTGTTGCGTTTCTGAGATCATTAATCTTAACGAGGGATTGATGCAAGGGTAAAATTTACTTAAAACTTTCTACCCTTTTTGCAGTTCTGCTCCTAATCCCACCTCTGCAATCATCCTCCAAACATTCAGGAGCCAAGGTGCCTGTTCCAAGGTCAACATTATATGTGTTCAGAAAGGAAAAGACATGTTAGGACAAATTTCATCCTAAGCCTTCTTTAAGTGCTTTAAATAATGTATGTATATGGTCTGTGCTGTAGTGCAGATGCATCTGTTGTGGAAGGGGAAAAAGTGCAGTTTTGGCCAGGGACAAAATTCCTCCTTGTGTGTAAAGTGACCGTGATCTTGTCTATATCCATCAGGAATAACCACGGCTGATTGTGTCTTATCTATACGTGGTGGGGGGAGCCACATTTGGTTTTGGTGTCTTTCCACCAGCAAAACATTCATTACGTCTAAATTAGCGCGCTGCGAATTGTGAGGACTTATTTTTTTTTGTTTTGTTTAAACTCGAAACCCTGACGTTTTGTCGGCTGTGAAGTGGTGGGTAGCTTCCAGCATTTTTGACTGCATGCATCCAGGTTGAGGTAGTAGGTTGTATAGTTTAGAATTACACCAAGGGAGATAACTGTACAACCTCCTAGCTTTCCTTGGGTCTTGCACAGAACGGCGTGATGAGCGACCATAATTCCTCAGCAATCTTTGCTCTGGACACATGGAAGAGGAAAGAGCAGGTAAGATGAGCTGGAAAACCTTTTCTTTTCTTCTGCCTCTCTAGAACTTCAGAAATGTTCGTTCTCTCGGCATTTTTTGACCTATCGGTGCTATATTCTTGAGTTTTTAGCAAATTCAGCAGACTAGTAATGCTTGTCTTCCTTTATTAGCATTCGAGCAGCGCAATGTGTAACATTCCTAAAAAGCACCATGGCAACATATCGGTGTTATTGCCTTCGCGGTCAGCAATCAGAAGTCTCCAAAGGTAACATGAAAAGCATCCTGGTTTGTGTGTGCTACGGAGATGTGTGAGCAGGTTTCCCTTCCCCTTCGCCTTCGACTGCTTCACTTAGTTCTACATCAAGAGTTAAACAAGGCTGTGCCCTCTATGAGACCTGGCACAACTCATTGTCTCTCAGGAAGCGTAGGAGGCTGGTGCCGGTGCTTCCAGATAAAGCCTGTAAGGGTTTTTTGTGAAAGTACCTAAATCTACACCGTCCTCGGGAGAGCTGTTCGTAGGGAATATCCAGTTAGTGATTACAGGCAGCTAAAATGGTGATTCTTCAGGGGTTTTTTTCCCAGGCTTGTACAGCTAAATGAGGTGTTTCCAAGGCTGATGCTCCTGGATGCATCCAATAGAGGTGGGTTCCTTCTCCCTCACAGTGGTTTGGGTTCAGGAGCTGTGGAGCCAAAGCCCAGATTTTGTAGAGGAGCTGTGTGTAGAATGGGCACGTGGTGACCCTGTAGTCCTGGGCAAAAGACCTCATTTCTAATGTACTTACATGTCTAAAATGCAGGCAATAATACTCCCTTCCAGTACCTGAAGGGAGCCTACAGGAAGGCTGGGGAGAACCTGTTTAGAAAGGCCTGCAGTGACAGGACGAGGGGCAATGGCTTCAAGCTGGAGGGGAACAGATTTAGACTGGAGATGAGGAGAGGGTTCTTCACTGTGAGGGTGGTGGAGCACTGGGACAGGTTGCCCAGGGAGGTGGTTGAGGCCCCTTCCCTGGAGATATTCAAGGAGAGGCTCGAGGAGGCCCTGGGCAACCTGGTCTAGTTGGGGGTGTCCCTGCTGACTGTGGGGGGGTGGGACTAGATGGCCTTTGGAGGTCCCTTCCGGCCTGGGCAATTCCATGATTCTGTGATAATATACCTAATATTCTTAGCTGCTACTGAAGTCTACAGTTTTATTTGCCTAACTATTTAAGGTCTAAAAAATCCCTCTGAAACTCTGGAGTTTATTTGGTAAAGTTTGAACACGAGTCAAGGTCTTGATGTTGGCTCTGTTGAGGGTTCAGGTCCCCTGGCAGCCTGGATGAAGGTGGTGGCCCTAACGCTTGATCAGTGTCCCAAACATGAGCTATGTTGCGTCTTTTGACTGTATATATGACTAATTCTGGCATAGGGTTCATTTTGTTAGTATAATCTAAAAGTGTGGAAAAGGTAAAAATATTTCAAGGTATCTAAATAACCTAGAAAAATGTTTTGGTTTTTTTTCTGGTAAAATGGCGCTTAAAAACTTTAATGTCTGCAAATCCTTGTTTACTGAACTCAAAGACAAGCTGTTGGTTTCTCGAGTGTTACCCAGAGCTCAATTGTTAGTTATTCAAAGAGTGGATTAGTGGGACTTTATTTCATCTTGTTTTCAAAGAGGTTATGGATATCACTGCCATGGTTTGAAACTCCCTGATTCCTTAGGACAAGGCAGGTATCAGGGCTAACACGGCTCTGCTTCTGCATTTCTTGAAGGCACAAGCATCAAACATACGCAGGTAGTTAAAAAAGAGCAATGTTTTTGGCACATTTTAAGCTGTACCTTATTCCCTCTCCCATCTTTTTGCAGATGTAAGTGCAGTTTTTCAGCTGTAAATCCAGGAGCTGCATTGACTCCCAGCCAGTGCTGAGCTGTTCCATAAGGGTCGATTTATTATTTATTTTTTTTAACCTGTTTGGTACTTCTCTAGGAATAGCTTTACAAATGAGTGGTAATGACTCCCTAATAAGAACACTCCTCTCTTTTTGGATGATAGCATTTTCGATCTGCTTTGCACAGACATAAGGGACCTTCATAAGGTTCAAAAATAGGGGTTATTTGTCCTAACACACACATTTGTGGCTATCAAGCTTAACTGCATGTTAAGTGTGTTAATCATGTATATAAATCAAATTATGTTTCGCCAAAGAACGAGGGATAATAATTAGAAAGGAGAATGGTCAGTGGTACATTGAAGTTGACAATAAGCACAATTCAATGTGCATATTTTTCTTCTGAACAAAATAGCATTCCAGCTCTCCCCCTGATGAGAGGAATGTATTGTCAATTAATTAGACTTCCATCATATGTCCTCGGATGCCCTTCTATCATATGCCTTCCATATGTCCTTATGTCATATGCCTTCCATATGCCCTCTATGTAATTAAGCTTCTATCATATGGCTTCTATCATATGCCATTTAAATAGATTTCCAGGAGAATATGGCAGTGTTAAAATTATGGACCTTTTGCAATGAGTAAAGGAACAACTCATGAGCTGTAGATTAAAAGAGGAGGAAGCAAAAGGAAGGTGGCTCGCACTGAACAGTTCCTTTAATTGCCAGTTTTGTTTCTCTCAGCTTGGGCAACGAACGGACAAAAGTGTCCTGTTTCCCTTGTTTTCCATTACAGCTCCATTCCCAGTTTTTATTCTGAGAACAGTCAGAGAGATAGTGACTGGTTTTTCAGAGAACGCTGCCACTGGAATGTAAAATGAAAAAGAAACAATCCACCCCCCCCGAAAATTGTTTGTCCTACGATAATGAAATGTAAACTTCGATCCTGTTTTTGTCTCTTCAAGTCTGTAACGGAGGGAAGTACCAGAATTACCATGGGGAGAGGATTATTGAAAATGAGATGGTTTGCTTTACTTAAGCAGGCAACCCTGGTGGGTGCAGATAGTGGTGTGCTTTTCTTGGCATGGTGACCGCTTGGTAGTGTCCTGTGCACAAGAATATGGGGTGAAATGGATTCCAAATTGACTGTGGCTTATTAAGGGTGAAGACCAAAAATAGGCACTGATGCTTACATACGTGATGAGGAAAACTACAAGCATCCGAGGAATGATGAGGTCTTGGGATGGTTTCCAATGAGAAGACAGCCAGTGGGCTCGTGTGCCGTGTGTACGTCTGTGTGTCTGTGCCTTCTTTCTTCCCAACACCTTCTCTTCTAATCCCAGTCAGATTTGACAGAGGAGCTTCTAATCCCAGACAGATTTGACTTCCGAGACTCTTCTGCTCCAGCAAGCTTTACAGAAACCATAGAAATCACAGCCATATATCCAGCAGTCAGGAAGAAGGTTGAAAGGACAAAGAGAAGGTAAAACAGAGTGCTGAGGTGTCCAAACTATGAATGGGAGAGCAATTTGTAGCATGTGCCCGTTTACCTGGATTAACTGGGTTGAGTGGGGTGATGAGAACAGTTCAAACAGATTCCCACTGGCTGGTAACCAGTGTGTCCCTGAAGATTTTGCACTCCAGTTGCTAGAGCATGCTAAAACCATGACTTTTTTATGTGCTCTGCCCAGGCTAAGCTAGAATTTACCAAAAGATGGTCCTTTATTTTGCTGTGTAGATCTACTGCTAGTTTGTGTAGACATACTATTACCATTTGTAATATAGATGCGTTCCCAAAAGATAGGTGACAGGTCTTCTTTGGGCTTAATCTTTTTATTTTCAACTCAATTTTCGTTTAAAACACACGCACACACACAAATATATAACCAGTCCATCTGGAAGCTCTAGGTCATTAGGGAAATTATTTTGAAAAATCATGTTGCACCATCATTAGTTTGCTGGTGCCACAGTTGCAAACTGTGTACTAAGGGAAGCCTTTAAGTCTCTTGTAGTGTACCACTGAAATTATCTATCAAGAATAACTACTGAAGTGTTGTATTCAGAAATACTATTTTTTTTTCTGGTTTGCTGGGCAGCAAGAAAATACTTGCAATAGTGCATTACTGCAGATTTTCTCCTGCTTCTGTGTTTTCACATGGCTGTGAGGCTTGTGGACAGTGGCAGACTGAGAGTCCTGAAGGAGGAGGAACTCTCCTTATCCACAAAATCACTACCCCATTGCTTGTGACCCCCTGAGCATCTTCTGACCACTCTGTTGTGCTGCCTCCCAGCTGTCCTTGGAGAGGTCCAGCCCATGATGCTGAGAAAAACATGGCTGTTTCCTGGGATGTGGATGCTGGTCCTTTGGAAAGGAGGCTGAAACTCAGAAACTTTCACCGTTAGAGGGATTTTTTTTTTCTCTCTCTCTTTTTTTTTTTTTTTTTTAAACAATGCCTTTCATCTATTTCCACACCCAACTGAAACTATGCTGCAACACTGCTGCTGCTAAATCAGATGCGTTAAGTACAGTCAAATTTGTACATAAAAGTTTTGTAAGAACTGGGATGAAATAGAATGGAATGCCAGAATGACTCATTGTTTAATGAATAAGGCCCTAAGTGTTCTATTGATGCCATTTATAAATCTGTATAAAATGTATAGAATTCATGTCATAACTGGAATTCCAAGCACAGCAACCTTGTGAGCTAAATTATGATGATGATAGGGTACTGCACAAATTAATATGAATTCTAACACGCTTCTGCTTGAAAGCTGCTCAGACAGTTAAAAATAAGACAATTCCATTACACAGATTCAAAGCCCAGACCTCAGAAATGCTGCTACTCTCTCCTATTGAAATTGTAAATTACTGAAGAAGGAAGTTCTTTTTGTGTGTGTTAGAGTCAAAAACTATAACCTATAAGGGAAACAGATGTCCTTTCAATTAGATGTAGATATTGCACAGTGCAATTGGAAAATAAAAGAATTAGCTGGTATAGACCAGCTCAGTATTTGGAATCTTTTGTTGGAAATGAGCAGTCTGAGGCCAGAGCAGAGATCTGAACACACATCTCTTTTTGACTAACTTTTTCCTTCTCATTCTTTGCCCTTTTCGTAGTTTGGTGGCTTAGATACGAAACCAGGTGAAGTTCAACATTTCCAGCAGGAGTTTTTGAGACCAGCTCTATGTCCATTCAGTCTGAGACAAACTCCTATGTGCGTGGTGTTGGGCTACCAAGATTTAACCTTACGATAAAAACTTCCAGTCTGAACTGGAACAGAAAGGAAATCTGACATTTGGAAATTTCCCATAGCAGAGGAAGATCCAAAACATTTTATTTGGGAACGCCCCTCCCTCCCCCTTCTTTTTCCTTTCTTTATTAAAGAAGATAAAACTTCTAGTTGCCCTGACTCTGCTGATGCTTCAGGCAGTCCCAGTTGCATATATTTAGATTTATATATTGAAAATATAAAATGTATTCTCCCTGAGCAAATAATTTTTCAGATGCAATAGGGTGAAATTAGCCTCTTTGTGCAATGTCATGGCCCTGTTTCTTGGTTAAATAAGTTCAAGAATCAGGTTTCTGGGGCAGATATGGAAAGAAATTGAAATTCTCATTCCATGTTACACGCAGTGGCTCCTTCTTGCTGCTGCCTCTCCCTGCTTCCTTCTCACATTCAGGAGGCAGCTTCCTCTCCGTTTAGGTGACCCGAGATTCTCTGAGGTGTACTGCAAATGAAATGCCACTGGCTAGAAATATTCCAAGCAATTATTTTCTTAAAAAGCAGGAGGCAGCTGCTGCTGCTCGAAGGATGAAGTCACTTACCTATGGGAAAAGAGCTGTCAGCCCCCAGGTGGGGACCTCACCAGGTCTGGAGACTCTCCCTGGCTCCTGCCAGCCCATCTCTTGATGTACAACCACTTCTTTTTTAAGAAAAAAGCCCCCCATGCACAAGCCCACTTCTAAGAGTACTGTTTAAGAGCAGTGTAGGTATAGCCAATATAGATAGAGTCCTTGATTTCTGTTTTCCATCTATGTTCTTGTAGGTTCCTGCATCCAGGTAGTCAAACTACTGCGTCGTGCCCCAGAGGAGGAAATGTTGGGGTGCAGGGTTCTCCCTGGCCCCTCTCGGGTCACGGAGGATAAGTCCACTCCAGGTGTGAGTCACCCTTGTGCCATTTTCCCTTCCACCCTTTGCCAAGGCCTGGTGACAAGAGTGTGATTTCCCTGAGTTTGTCTCTGTTACTGGTGTGACACACAGCTCTTCGGGCTTCATTATGGCTTTCATAAGGTATTAACGGGATGTCAGGATCAAGTCATTTATAATTAACAGTGACATGCAAATGTCATGTCTAACAATCATAGTGTAAGAGTATTTTTGTGAACGGGCCATTTTTTACACACGCAACTGTCAACATCCAAGAAAGCCATAACCAGTCGGGCAAATGGTTGGTAAAGACAGATATTTTATTGGTCTTTTGTTTACTCCTCATTGAATTCTTGATAAGCAACTAGACCTCGTTGCCTGTTGTTCCTAGATCCAGTACAGATATAAAGCTGAAGCCAAGAATGGAAGCTTTTATGAACATTTTAGGGCTTGATCCTATTATGAGTGTGGAGTGGATGAATCCCTGCACAATACTGATGTGGAACTCATGTGAGCACTGTCTGGATTTTTGGGACCAGAGACAGTAAGGTGTGCAGCACAGGAGCTGAACAACCAAATCTAAGGAGAGGAAGAGTGGCTCAAAAAGTTGCCAGCAAAAATGGTCCCAAGCAGGGAGATACCTGAAATTGATATACTGGAACCATTCCCATTAGAAAGGGAAAAAACCCAGACGTTGTACTGAAAATAAAAGAAAGAATGAGAAGGTAGACTGAGAAATTCCCATAGTTTCACAAAGTGAATACAAGGAGACGTGCAGTGAAATTAAATGGTGACAAATTGAAAATGCAGTTCTTTTCCACCAGTGTTTAATTAAAAAATGATCCTAATTGCTTTTAGAAGTTAATGGGAAGTTTGCAAGTCTAGAACAGATTAGATACTTACGATTTTAATAAGCATATATAGAATTATGGTAATTCATTATCATAACTTTAGAACTGAGTTTAGACTTCATGTTTCAAGGTTTAGGATGAAGTACAACAATTCAAGACCACGGAAGAACCAGTGGGAAGGATGGCTCTTGGTTGACCAAAGTCACTAAAACTTGGCACTGTTGGAGAAGGTATGTTAGAGAAGTCTGGATTCTGACCCAGTCTCTGTCTGTCTTCTGCAAAAGATTAAGCCCATGGTTTGCCACTGATAAATAAAAGTGAAGGGTTGGTAGATGCCTGGCCTTCACTTGGGCTGGCATATTGAATACCTGCAATACAGCAGTATTAAATATCCAATGGCATGGTCCACCTCCAGTTCTTTGTGTGACCACCATCCAGAAAGGAGAGCAGAGGAAGGTGAATGACTTACCCAAGGCCAGGCAGCGTATCATTGGAAGGGCTGTGTACAACAGCCGGGTCAGTTGGGTTGCAGATCTGCATCCAAACGTACGTTATGACCTCTTCCTTCCTCGTTAGATACATTTCTTGGAAGCCTGGTATTGCCAGACATAATAAAAGTTTCAGGAACGGTGAGGAGGGTTACACCTGGTCCTGCTTTCACACCCACGCTGTGGTTGCAGCCCCTCAGGTTGGTGGTGGGTTTGGGGTCACCACAGTCAGTTCCCTGAAGAGTGTAGGCAGACCCTTTGTATTCCTTAAGTGATGTTTTAGGAATTGTTGTAAATAGCAGGTCAAACCCATTCCGGGATTAGTGCCACTGGTGTGGGTTCGTTTTCAAGTTTGTTTTTCTTGTGTTTGAAGTGGCTTCTCATCTCTTCTGACAAGGAATAGCAGTTGTGGCATCAGAGAGTGGTTTGCAATAGTGGTGTTTGCAGCCTCTCCGATGCCACAGCTTCCCCATTGCTTTCCATTTCCTTTCATAAATGAGGTTGTTAGATTCGGAGGACGGGATTTTAAAAAAAGAATAAGGAAGAGAAAGAAAACCAGGAAGGAAATGGGAAGGGAAGAGGGCGAGATACGATTGCTCCCCGCTACACATCTTGTGGTTAGAGTTGATTTTGGAAATTGCCCTCCCAGTTGCTTTTGAAATGTGAAAGGAGAACTTGTTTTACGAGAGCCCTAAGATAGTTCATTCACGTGTTTCCCTTCGTTCGTGTGTGAGAACAGTTGCTGAATGAGAAGTTAAACACTGTAGGTCTTAGTGGCAAAAAATAAAACCAGTGTCTGCTACTTGCAACGTGAGTGATGATGTAGTTAGACTGTGGAATCCTGTCTGTTTGTAGGGTTGGAGGGTAGAAATCTCTGGTCAGCAATCTATAACCAGGGTGCTGTAATGGATCCACATGGCCCCTGTGTTGGTTGCTGCATCTCATAAAGGGACTTTGTGACAGAATTAAAGAACTTCAGTCTCTTCTTTCTTCAGTAAAAGGGGAAGATATCCATACTCTGCTGGAATTGCAAGGGGTTCTAGGATGTTCTGTTTTGACTATATTCCACAGAATATAGTCAGATATGTAGAATATTTGCAGAATATGTATCCACAATCTCATTTCATGGTGCATACAGCCTCTCAGGAGGTATGCACAGCAGCTCACTGCTGTGTATGTTAGAAGAAGTGGGGATCTCATAAGTTATTTTATCTTCGTGCTAACATTTTTATATATATATATATTTGTCAGATGGCTGCCAAGTAGCAAGTTGCAAACCAACGGTGACTAATGAGTTGAAGAGCCAGAGAAGGAGCAAAGAGGAGTGTGTGGTAACTTCTTGGACTATCGGGATGCAAGGTGAAAGCCTACCAGACAGCGGGCGTGCAGTGAGTCAATCCTGCACCAAACCTGAGCCAGGAGGTTCTGAGGGACACGTAGGAATGGCCCAGTGAGTGCAGGGCTCTGGGGGTGCTGGGTTCCATCAGCTCTCGGGGAGAAAGGAACACTCAATCCATACTGAAGTCAAGGGTTAAACGTTTCATCCATAAATTAGCGCGAGGAATTAAGAAAGACTACTTGACATCTGAAATCACAGGGAGGCTTTTTCCGTGTAATAAAAAAGCCTCTTCAAATTATTTAAAGCAGGCTCCTCTTGCGTTTGAAAACTGGGGGAAGCTGTGCGAGTGAGATGGGCCAGTTTTCGCTCTCGGTTAGTAATAACTTAGCTCATGCAAATGACAGCAGGATTTGTCTCTTTTTCCTGCCCTGGCTTTAAAAGGAGTTAGACCTTGGTTTCGGTTGCAAAGAAAATGCTTCCAGTTGCCATTTCCACGAATCCTATTCTGAATCTCAGTGACGGAGTCATGTCATTTGGTCATCTTGAAGTCTGTAAATTAGTTTGTCAACAAGCTCTATGTGGTGGGACTCAAGCTTATCTTCAGCAGAGCTGCTCAAGGGGCCCGAAACCTCAGCGGTGAGGACAAAATGCATCTCTCCTTTGCCTGGTTATCTGAGGGAGGTTTAAAAACTCCAGACAGGGGCAGAATTCCCTTGGGGAGCTCCAAGTTTGTAGAGCAGCTCCCTGGCTTGTTGCGAAGCTCTTGCTCTGCCTCGCGCCACATTGCATTACATATTAAGGCAGGCTTTGCATTATATATTAACACAGATTTGTCCTCAGATACCCTACTGTGGAGAAGGCCATTTTTAAATCTTTAATAGGGCATTAGAGCAATTTGCCTGTGATTTAGTTTTAAGTGGGCAAGGAGAGTGGTGACAAACGAAGCTGGGAGGCCCTAAAATTCTTTGAATATTCCATGTTTTCCTGGAACTGGTGGGAAAAGGCTGCCAGAAAGGTCTTGGCAGGTTTTCTAGGTGGCTCGCCAAGTCTGAAGCAAATGTGGATAGTTAATAGGCTAATGCAGCTCTGGTTCCAAGTCCATACATATATAACATACGTTTTTATTTAAGAAATCCCACCGCATGGAGGAGCAAATGTAGTGCTAATATATCTTCCTGAAAGAAAACAGCAAGGGAAAAAACACTGTCATCTTGTAACGATAAAATAAGGGATCTTTTGCCCTGACTTTTTAGGGACTCGAATTGTCGGTTGAAGAAGAGACGACGTAGGAAATTAAATCAGTAGACAGGCAGTGGCTCTCCCGTGAGGGGCCCATATTAATCAGGAATGGCTTATGTAGCAATAGTTTGCATCTAAGGAAAAAAAGGCACAAGTTGCTCAAAGAATGGATTTCCGTTGCTAGATTGACTTTTTGTTGTTACCATGCAAGTAATTAAAAATGGCAATTAAGCAGGAAAGTGATCAAATAATGACTTGGGACCTGCTGGCGCAGTTGGGTCCGTGTGGACAGCCCGTTCTAGCATGAAGCATGAGGCTGCCTGTGTGGGTCAAATCGTAAGAATTAAGTGCTGCTACTGAATCACTAAAGGTATAGGCTGGTTTGGGGGGGTTCTTTGTGTGTTGGGGTCAGAATCGTGGTTCTCTGTGGCCATGGACACCCAGGGAATAGGTGTTCGCTGTTCCAGGGAAACTCGAGTTCTGATTTCTCCCAGACACCAGGTGAATTAGCTTTGTAATTTTGAAATTGTCTCCACTGTGAGGGATTCTTGTTTGTATTCAGCTCATGGGGCCTGTCTTGTTGTATTATTGATGGGGCGAAGACCATGCTCAGCCTCTTCCGTTTCAGTGGAACAATTTTTTTTTTTTCTTGATTAAGCCGTTGGTGCAGACCCTGAAGTTCTGCTACAGGCTCCCTGTGGGATCCTGGATGAGTCACTTATTTTTCTTTGTTTTTATTCACTGTCTATAAAATCGAGGTCCTTATTCCTCGTAAGGAGTATTGCAAAGACAGAGGGACTGATCAGAGTTGTGCAGAGACAGTCATGTCCCATGTCACATTGGAATTGCAAGTGAGCATCCTGTGTATCTCTATGAAGAAATGTTTCACGTGGCCGACCTCCGTGGTGACACAGACATTCATTAGCTGCACAGAGTTAACACTGACAATATTCATCATCTAATGCTACTTTTACACAAACAAAATCATATTGAAAAGGCTGTTACTACACTCCAAAAATCCGAATTAAAGAACGTAATTTATTATCATAATAAGTGATCCGATATTCGGATTCTCCTGTTTGTTTTCTTCGTTTTGTAGCTCATAAAAATGTTACACCGTCTTTTTTTGCATTATCAAACCAGCTCAATTGAAGTTGAGGCTGTGCTAGAGCCTGGGCTGCAGCGTGAAGTGATGCAGAAGGGAGGACCGGCACCGGGACGGGGACACCGGCTGCTGTGCCTGTGTCCCGCTGCTATTTCTGGCCCAGCAGCATCTGAGGGGCCAAACGTAAGTCCTCAGAGGTTGCCACGTCTTCCTCGCCTGTCACGTGCCTCTTGATATGTGGCTTTCTCATTTTTAATACACTCTCAGCACCGGTGAGAGTTTTACTGTGTATTAAACCCTCTGTGTCTGGGTTCCCAAGAGGAAAGGGCGACCAGACCTGTCTTCAGACTGGATTAAAGCACCCCAAGCCTGTTATTTCTTTGTCAGCAATACCTAAACAGCTTGCTGTCCTGTAGATAACCTGTGAGAAGAGCCTCCCCATCTCCAGGAGCTTGCAGCCTACACAGATAAGGCAGGCAGAAGAGGAAACTCAAAGAGATGGAGAGACTTGCCCCAGCCACTCAGCACATCAAGGGGCCGGACTGGGACCAGGAGCAGGTCTTTTGAGTTCTCACCACTGTCATCACCACCAATTGTAGAACTAGAAAACCTGAAAAACATTTCTTTCTTTCTTTTAAATAGAATTATAGAATCTCCCAGGCCGGAAGGGACCTCCAAAGGCCATCTAGTCCAACCTCCCCGCAGTCAGCAGGGACACCCCCAACTAGACCAGGTTGCCCAGGGCCTCCTTGAGCCTCACCTTGAATATCTCCAGGGATGGGGCCTCAACCACCTCCCTGGGCAACCTGTTCCAGTGCTCCACCACCCTCACAGTGAAGAACCCTCTCCTGATCTCCAGTCTAAATCTGTTCCCCTCCAGCTTGAAGCCATTGCCCCTTGTCCTGTCGCTGCAGGCCTTTCTAAACAGGTTTAATAGTTCTAAATAGTTCCACTCTCTCTTTAAAAAAGGAAGAAAAGGTCCAAGAGCCTGACAGGAGGTCTGGGGGATATTTAAGGATGACTCTGCTTTGAGGTTCTTCAGGTCCCCATAATGTCTCCGGGCTCTTTACAGACATAATTAAGGTTCAGAGTCACAACTCCTTTCTTATGTTACCTATTTGTGTTGGCTTTATATCGAGGAGAATTGGTAATAGACTGCAGGACTGAAGGTCTACAGTGAATTCATGGCAGTGATGGGGACAGATGTGTGGGCTGCAGGCTCTGCCCTCCCATCACTAAGATACAATTTCTCTTTTACCGACTCACCCAAGCACTTTTTGCCTGTTGAAACATAATTCATTCTAGCTCTGCTTTTGGTCTCACAGATTTCTAATTTAAATTTATTTTTCTCCTTTTCCTGCCAGGTCAGATTCCCAAAATGTCCCTAAACTTTATGCGTGTTTCGGAAGTTAAATGTAGGTTCAGCAGTTTAGATTCTAATTGAACATGTGTTACTTTTATTGGCTTTTTCAGAAAAAAATAAGAGTTAATTTAGGGATGCCGTCTTTTTCATGTAACCATTTTATTGGAATTTCAAGTATATTTAAAAAAAGCATTAAATGTTGACCAGACAGAAATTTTTCATAGCAACCTTGTAGGCTAACATATTAATATAGCTCCATCACTTAGGAACTGACATACTTCAAAATTTGTCAGATTTTCATTGTAAAGCCTCAGATCTTAAGAAATTTCATCCCCAGCTCAAAACAGGATAGATTTATCTGAAGTTTTAGTGAGGATCTTGGCGCTTTCATCGTGTTTTAAGTG